AAAAAGAAAAAGAAAAATGAAAGTCACCCTAATGTTACAGAGAAGCGTCCCACTGATTTTATGCCAACTGCTACTTCTGTTCGGGACTTGAGCAAACTCTCCCTCTTGTGTAACATCCAGATCAGTCTCCTCCTTCCTACCGTTACATCACGTTTTACACAGCTCAGCTGAGGTGGCCGTCTGCCGACAAGCTCACCAACTCGCCGTGAAGGCAACAAAGAGCCAGGGCGCTCCCCGCCAGCGGCACCCGTGTCCGTTTCCCAGCACAGCAGCTTTCTCGCCTCTCGTCTTGTGCTGGAGGTGCCCAGGGTGAGCTCAAGGCTCCCAAACGCGGGGCTGCCGCCGCCCCACCGAGCCCTGCCCTCGGCCCCACATTCTTACTCCTCCTGACCCTCAGCACAGATCTGGAGACACCAGGCTCACGGCGCTCCTGGTGGCAGCACGTGTGAAAGCCCTCACTGCCGCAGCTGAAGGCCGTGGGACTGTCCCACGCACAGGGCCGCCCTGACCCCGCTGCGGCCCTGCTGCTGAGACAAGGCCGCTCCCTCAGCACCAGCCAGGAACCAGCTACTACAAACAGGGGCACACTAGAGGTTTCCACGGATGGCGGATTTACTAGAGCGGGCTGGGGATGGCGCTCATGGCACAGCACCTGCCTGGCAGGCACAAGGTCCTGAGCTGGAGTCCCGATATCACCAAAAAAAAAAAAGAAAAAATTAACTAAAGCACATGTCCCAGTGACAAGAGTTCATGATTCTCTTGGTATAAAGGGGGGAGAAAAAAGCTTTTTTGTACAAATCATTTTGTACATTAAAATATATTTTATAAAACAAATCACAAACAGATTTTAATACATCTAATACCTTTTATAGCACAGTTTTCATCTAAAATTATTTTCAAATTCAATTAAAACAACTATAACAAGTAATACATTAGAACAAGATTTAGAACTTCTTAATCTAGAAAAGATTGCTTTTGAAGACCGTGTCAATACTTGGACAGGCCCCACGTTACCATCAGAGGAAGCGCTCCCAGCTGCAGGTGGTGGAGCCGAGGTGCGTGGTAATGCGCCAGGTGTGGGGGCAGCGCCCCCGGGGTGTACGTGGCGGCCGTCACTCCAGTCTCGATGCCCAGCTCCCTGACGAAGGAGACAACAGTTTAACTCAGATCCTCCTCACAGCCGCGTTCACAGCAACACAAGGGGGGACGACACAGCTACACTTCTGAAAGGAATCTGAAGCTCCCTGACGTACACAACTAAGAAGCAGAGCCCACAGAGCCTAACAGTATCTTTACAACTTAGCCCTGTGACCATGAGCAGCAGAGCATCTGTCCTCGTGGTCACACCTCACCAAGGAAAGGGACAAACGACAAGCTCCTGAGGGCTGTCCAGACTACAAGCCTGGCTCTACCTAAGGGGCGTACAGACTCGTTGGCTGCTCTGGGTCATCAGAACATTAGAGATGCCCTGGCCTTTTGTTTGCTGGCAGCGTCTCTGGGTTCTTGCCATCAAGGATAATTAGCACAGCAAACCCTTCTACATCATCTAAAGCAAGAGTAAACAAAACTTTAGAAAGGGTAAACAATATATGCTAAATCTTCACTTATTTATTCCAATTTTATGTTCTGCCTCAGAATGAGAGAGCACTGTCAAGCAAGTACTTGGGAGGCTGAGGCAGGAGGACTGCTGAGTTCATGACCAGCCTGGGCTACATGGTGAGTTCAAGGCCACCTGGACTACATAGCAAGACCCTGTCTCAGAAAAAAACAAAAAAAAAAAACAAAAAAAAGGAAGTCCCTTTCAGATCGGGTGTGGTGGTGCATTCCTGTAATTCCAGCAAGAGGGAGGCTGAGGCAGGAGGATCCTTGCGAGTTCAAGACCAGCCTGGGCTACAAAATGAGCTCAAAGTCAGCCTGAACTGTGTAGCAAGACCCTGTCTCTAACAGACAGAAAAAAAAAGAAAGAACTAAGGCTAGGAGAATATAGGCTGGGTTTCTCTGTCATAGCAGAATGGTGGAGCAAATCAGGACTAAATTCTGGTGTTCCACTGCACAAAATGGTGACTGTAATGAATAATGATAATATTATGTATTTCCAAATTGCTAAAGCAGAGGATTTTTACAGCTCTAATTTCAGCACTTGGGAAGCTGAGGTAGTAGCACTTTAAGGTTAGCCCAGGCTACATAGTGAATTCAGGACCAATCTTAACTACACAGAGAGACCCAATCTCAAAGAATTAAATCAATCAAACAAAGAGGATTTCAAACTTCCTTACCACAAAGGAGTGTAAAGTAGCTGAGGTGACAGCTATGCTAGCTAGCCTGCTTTAATCACTCCACAATACATACATACATGCACCAAAACATAACACACCAGCCCATAAAACATGATGCCATTAGTATTTGTCAATCAACAATAAAACTTAAAAACACTCTCTACTCCTTCAGGTGGTCCCTTGGCACAGAGCTGAGACACTCCCACCCTCTCTGCAGGCTTGCCGGAGTGAAGAGCGATACACTGTAACATTATACATTATACAGCTCAGGCCAGGGCCCGCTAAGCAGAGGAGTCTGCTTTTCTAGCCACCTCCGGCACGGAGCCCCACCCCAGAGCTCGACCAGAAGCCGCTGAGCACAGGGTTAGAACGAGCAGACACTGACCAGGCAGACCTCTCGGGCGCCTGTCGGGGGTGTGAGGACATCGTCTGAGGCACGTGAATGTGATGCCCATGGCCGTAGTTCGGGTGCATCCTGTGGGGGTGGGGTGGGGGGCGCTCGTGTGCCCGCCTGGAAATAATTGAATAACTGGTTACTTCCTAATGCGGAAAAACTCCAGTGTCAGTATAATGAACATCTACAGATTAATTCTAAAATTAACTTACCAATAAATTATATACGAAATTATTTAACAATTAACAAGAAATCAAGAAACCATAACCTCCTCCCCAAATTCTAACTCCTTATTTATTTCAGCCCCTCTAATATCCAGGACAAAACCAATTTCAACATTATCTTCTGACCTCCTTTATAGTGGGTACTTTAACTAGAATAGAAACTGAACAGAAATAAAGTAACTTTGTGAGATCCTGTGTCTGAAGAAAATGGGCTGGGAACGTAGCTCAGTACAGAAAGCCTGAGTTCAATGCCCAGTATTTAGTAGACAGGTACACAGACAGACAAAACTCTTTTGGCTTCTGACATCTGCCGATTTTACATTGAATGAGATGAAACTATTCTTTAGCTACTGGAGGCTATGACTAAGTTAGCAACTTACACTTTTTTTTTAATCCCTTTTGGTACTAGGGATTGAACCGGGGCCTTATGCACGCGAGGCAAATGTGCATTCTAACACTGGTCCCTATCCCCAGAAGTTTTTAAATTTGAGACAGAGTCTCACTAAGCTCCGCAAGTTGGCCTCAAACTCATAAGCTTCCTGTTCCAGCCTCTAGGAATAATTAGGATTATGAGTATCCAACAGCTGGCGACTTTCCGTATAAAAAGTTGATATTAAAATGACAGGCTGGGCATGATGGCCCACACCTGTATTCCCAGCACTCAGGAGGCTGAGGCAGAAGGGTCGTGCTAGTTCGAAGCCAGCCTGGGCTATACAGTGAGCTCAGGGTCAGCCTGAACTACACTGCAAGACCCTGTCTCAACAAACGAACAAACAAGCAAATGAAAAACCTAAAAAAAAAAAAAGAAAGGAAGAAAGAAAGAAAAAAAGAAAGAAGAAAATTAGATCCTGACTTTTTTTGCAACTCTTTAGTAAATCGTGCTCCTCAGGATCACTTTGAACATCAATCTTTATGATGAAAATTGGACAAGAGATAGGTTTGCTTAAAGAAATCATTGAGTTATGTGCTGAATGTAGTCTGATTTCATTAAATGATCTTACATAAACTTATTTTGTCAACAGCTACAATTTAGAGGAGAACATGGACATAATTAATTTACAGCTGAGCATGATGCACATCTGTAATCCCAGCACTCATGAGGCTGAGGCAGGAGGACTTCTTTGAGCTTGAGGCCTGCCTGTGCTACATAAGGAGTTCATGGCAAGCCTGAACTACACAGTGAGACCCTGTCTCAAAACAAACAAATAAACAAAAAAATTCCAGGCTGGGGACATAGCTTGGAAAGAGCTCTTTCTTGCTAAGCATGTGCAATCCCCACAAAAACAAACAAAATTTCCTAATCAACTAAGGATTGAGCAATAGTTACATCACTTCTAAAGATTTCATCAAACTAATGAGCAATGCAAAGAAAAGCGAGCATGACCCTCTTTAGGAAAACAGGAAGCGTACGTGGGGTGCTGCATCATCCTCCTCCTCTGGCCCTCGAGCCTCTGCATGACGTCGTGCGGGTGCAGTCTCTGGGCAGGAGGCGCCGCGGCCGGGAGGTGGTGCGCGAGGGGCTGGTGCGCAGAGGGGAGGTGCTGAGGGATCGGGGCCGCCGTGCTGGCCAGGTGAGTGGGGGGTGGCGGCGCCACCGGGTGAGCCGCTGCATGAGAAGACATGGGGGAGTGGAAAGCGTGCACAGGGTGAGGAATCACATAGTCCACTTGGGGTGGAGGCTGGGCCTGAGGAGGGGCATTTCCATGAGAATGGGGGCAGGCCGGAGCTTGGTGGTGAAGTGGTCTCGTCAAAGAAGCATCTGCAAGAGAAATACTGCAGGTGAGCCGGGCAGGTACCATGCAGTGGACCGAGCACGCGTCTTTGTAACAGTCTGGGCTGGAGGCGTCTGGCCAAGCAGCCTGCTGTCTCACTGGAATGACCTTGGTTGATCTCCTCAGGTCAACTTAAACAATTTTACTTCAGTCCCACAACACGTCGCCAACAGAGCCTGACCCGTACTCCCTCCCTTCACCCCCATTCACAGCCCCACCCCCAAAGAGCACAAACTGCTCTGCTCGAAGCCCTCGAAAGCAGGGTAACCCCTTCACTGGAAGCACGGCTCTTCAGCACATCAATCTCACTGCTAGGAAGTTATCCCATAGATAAGACTCCAACTACAAACAATTTAAATATTCACCCACAGAGGACTGCTGTCATATATAACGGAAAGTAGAGGGTGTTAAAAAGACAATGAAAGGAGGGCTTCATGGACAAACACTAGTGAGCTTGATTTTTATGTGCTAATATGAAAAAAAGAAAATCCAAGCTGTATGGTTGTGTGCAAACAAAACAAAAAATGAGGCAGAATACTGTATTTGATATGGCCCCTCACGTATGTAAGCAGTGAGTTTATGAAGAGAATCTCTGCATGTTTGTAGAAGATGCAAGGTGTCACTACCTCTGAGGAACTAAGACTGATGAGAGGTAGAATGGACTTTCCATTTTACAGAACGCTGCAGTGTGGTTTAGAATACACGTGAAATACGTTCACGATAAAAGCAAAACAAATTAAATCCTAAAACATTTTTATTAGGACATTTAAAAAGAAAACTGCTTCAGTATATTATTTTTAAAGGGAAATGGCATGAAATCACACACTACGTTCACAGCAAAAGAGACCCAATTAAAGATAAATACAAATAATTGTTTCAAAACAGCCTAGGGCTGGGGATACAGCTCAGTGGCACAGCGCCTGCCTGGCAAGTGTGAGGTCCTGAGTTGGAGTCCCACTACAAAAAAAAAAAAAACAGCCCATATATCATACCACTGTTTGTACACAGAATTCCCACACTAATCAATGCTTTGCAAAAACTTTCTCAACTCATTCTCCAGCAGTGGCACATGCCTGTAATCCCAGCACTCCGGAGGCTGAGGCAGGAGGACTGCCTGAGCTTGAGGCCAGCCTGGGCTACATAGGTAGTTAAAGGCCAGCCTAAATTACAAAGTGAGATGCTGTCTCAAAAAACCAGACAGACAGACAGACAGACAGACAGACAGACAAACAAGGAGGGAGGGAAGGAGGGAAAGAGGGAAGGAGGGACAGAGGGAGGCAGGGGAGAGGAAGGAGGGAAGGGGAGAGGGGGTAGGAGGGGAAGGAAAGAAGGAGGGAGGCAAGGAAGGGAGGTCTGTATGTAACAGTTATCACGACTTCCACTGTACAAATTCTGGGCTAGCTCCAGCTCTGTCTGCAGAATGCAGGTTTTTTTAAATTATTGGAGCAGAAGAAGAAATTCAAAGGGACATGTAACAGTAGTTCTTTCCTTTTCCTTCCTTCCTTTTTTGCTTTTTCAAAGTTTTGACCCTCCTGCCTCACCTCCTGAGTGCTGAGTTACAGCGTACTGCCACACCCACCTGGTACTGACCATTAAAATACCTAATGGACTTTAATTTCTCTAAAGTCATGCCCAGTCCTACTTTAAATGCCTACACCAGATGAGTACAGACACCTTTCTTTCCAACTGGCGAAGCATCTGTCCAAATTTACTTAAACCTTAGTAACCACTTGGGAATTCTTAAAATTGTACCTAGAAATACTATTAAACTTTCATATCTCACACTAGAGAATAATCCAAATTCCTTAAAACCTCCTTTGACAAAAATCTAAGGTGCCATTCAGTGTACTTCAATTTCATAGATACTAAAACGAGAAGAAAAAATACACCCCACACTCAAGCTAAATAAATACTAAAAATCACCAGGCATGGTGGCACAGGCCTGTACCTCCAGTACTCAGGAGGCTGAGGGAGGAGGAACACCCCAAGTTCAAGGCCAGCCTGAATTATGTAGTGAGATCTTAGCTCAAAAAACAAAACCAACAAACCAAAGCACCCCTAAAAATTGATGAGCTAGGGCTGATGAGAGGTTACCCCAGGGGGGCGCGCCCGGGGCGCCATTAGCAGGGTACTCACAGGGAGGCGGCAGGTAATGCCGGCACGAGGACAGAGCGGGCTGGGGGGGCGCCTGGGGCTGGGGCGGGGCAACCAGGCTCGATCCGTAGCTGTCCAGGGACAGTGGCTGGCTCGGGGCAGCAGGCGCAGCCTGATGGCCAAAGATGGCAGCTCGGGAAGACGAAACAGGGCAGCAGGGGTCAAACGCAGACGCTCCGTGAAAACCACCACTGCCATGGCTCCTGATGCCACTGCTGCTCAGGTCGACCGGCAACGCCTGTGCACAAGGAGGAGCTAGAGTTCACCTTTCACAACACTGTCAGGACATCACTGCCGTCATCACAGTACAAATGTGAAACAGAAAAATAAAGCCTTTGAATTACTCTGGAAATGGAGACAGTCATAAAAACTGGACTGGTTTTATACTTAAAATCTAATCAAAGATAAGATCATTAGCACAAGATGAAGACATTTTTAATATTTTAAGGTATATTTCTCCTGCATTATTAACATCTGAGAGAACGTTTACGCATTCTCTTTCCCTGAAGCTCTCACCAGTAATTTAAGAGGCCCCAGAAAACACGTTACCACACGACAGAAGACACTTAGGTTCTAGTGAAAAACACACCCCAACTTTCTAAACTCTCTTCCGCAAGCATTCAACAGAACTCCAAGAATGCAAACAAATCCACAAGATTATTCTGAAATTAGCTTTGCTTGACAAAAACATTAAAAAGTAAAGGTTAGACTGACAAAAACGTTAAAGAATAAGCCAATGCTTCCTTTTATCAGGAATCTGATTTGTGGGAAGGCGCATTTACTAAGCTGTGCACTAAACCACAATGGAGAATTCATCTCTACTTACCAGCAGTTTTTCCCCCAAAGCATTTAAAAAGTTCCCGGTATCCAGTAGAATAACTATCACCTACAGCAACCTGTGTCGTATTTCCAACTAACTAGAAAAGCAGTCTAAACGGTCCCAGCACGCAGAAGTAAAAATGTTGGAGGAAAGATGGGAGCACTAATTACTGTGACTTGATTATTACACACTGTTTATACGCATCAAATTACCAGACCGTTTCCCCATAAATATGTACAGTTATGTGCCCAAGGTCTCACTCCGTAGTGCAGATTAACCTTTAACTCACTATGAACTCTAGGCTGGCCTGGAACTCACAGCAATCCTCCTGTCTCAGCCTCCCTAAAATTTTTTAAATCCTAAATAAATCTTTCACCAATCTTGGGTATCTCCAAAGCAGATAAATAACTGCTTCTTTGTATTCTTAAGTAACTTAAATACATGCTTACTGCTTAGCTTCCATATAGCTGTGGTTGTATAAATATGATTACAGAAAATAAATATCTGGTGTCACACATGGAACGACGTATAGCAACTGTTCAACGCTGCAAGCCGAGGACCCAGAAATGAAGGGTAACACTCTGCGAGAAGCACAGATCACCCACAGTCCACACAGGAACTAAGGCAGGCTCCTTTCTTTCAATGGGCTCCACGCTCAGAGGATGAAAAGAAACAAGAGGAAGGAGGTGCAGATACAGGAAAAGCTTTGGCAGGAAGAAGAGAAGAGTGCTAGCTGGGCGTGGTAGCATAACTCTATAATCCCAGCACATGGGAGGCTGAGACAGGAAGATCACTACCTCTATAACCCCAGCATTTGGGAGGCTGAGACAGGAAGATCACCATGAGCTCAGGGTCAGCTGGGCTACACAGTAAGCTCAAGGATAGCCTGGATTAAATAGGAAGACCCTGTCTGAAACGCCAACCAAACAAAGCCCTCCTGCAAATGGGCAGGTCCCCTCTTCCGTACTATGTGTATACAGTCAATTACGTAGAGGTGTGCCCCATTCTCCTGAGGCAGGGAATCCAATGTATGCCTGCAGTTCAGGTGAACATGGTTTAAGAACAAACAGAGCTGGGCGTGGTGGCGCACACCTGCAATCCCAGCACCCGGAGGGCTGAGGCAGAAGGATCATTGCGAGTTTGAGACCGGCCTGGGCTACAAAGTGAGCTCAAGGACAGCCTGAGCTGCGCAGTGAGACCCTGCCTCAGAAAGACCAAAAAAAACCTCAACCACAAAGAAACAAAATTTAAAAGGACACATTTTAGGAAATGTCAGATGACAGAGAAAAGCAACTGTTCTGAATTTTCCTTTTGACCTTTTCCTACAATATTAGACAATAAAGTTACAATTTTTGCCTAAAATGACACCTTCAGTTCTGAAAGCACATAGCACTAAGGTTTATATCACAGTTATTCATATAACCACCCAGCAAAAGATAAAATAACACATAATACCTGACTTGATTTATTCTATGTGATTAATACTAATTTAGTGTTATTTGACATTTTAAATGCTCACTAAAATATAAACTCATTTAAACATAACTTTTCTTTTTTTGCTTACACTTCAATTCTCTAAAAACAAAAACTTCATCTGCTCCTAAGAACATGTGCTGCAAGTTTATATCTGAGAAGCTACTTATTTCTAGATTCATGGAGGTTATGAGTTCTAGAGTAACACATAAAAAAGAAAACATGGGCATATCCCAATATTTCATAAATCATGTTGATATAGTTTTAACATCTTATTTGAAATAGACTCTCAAAGATGAGATTCATCTATATTTAAAGAGATCAAAGATAATTTCAGAATAGAAGTCTTTTTTTTTTTTTGGTCTTTTTTGAGACAAGGTTTCACTGTGCAGTTCAGGTTGGCCTCAAACTCATTTTGTAGCCCAGGTGGGCCTCAGACTTACAGTGATCCTCCTGCCTCAGCCTCCCAAGTGCTGGGATTGTAAGTGTGAGCCACCACACTCAGCCTAAAAGATGATTTTTGGATTAAGCATCACTTCTAATTTATCTTTTTGTCCTCTCCTTTCTCTCCCTCTCTCTCTCTGTCTCACTAAAGACTGAAGCCAGCGCCTTGCAAAAGAGCCAAGTGCCAATGACTGACATCGTCAGCATCTGTAATTTTGCTTTGAGACAGTCTCATTAGGTTGTCCAGGGTAGCCTCAAAGTTGTGGTCCTCCTGCCTCAGCCTCTCAAATACTGGGAGACTAAAGACATTCCCCATCATGCCTGACTCCATATTTTTATTCCCCTCAACTATTTGCAATAGGAAAATCCCAGGAACTTCATTTAAAAAAAAAATGACATACCACTAAATTAAGCCATTTTCACACGTAAGAAAATGAAGCCTATAAAACTTCAGAGCCAGGTATGGTGACACACACCTATAATCCCAGCACTCAGAAGGCTGCGGTAAGAGAACCAACTCGAGTTCCAAGACAGTCTGGGCTACATAGAGAGCTCAGGGCCAGCCTGATTTACAAAGTGAGACCCTGTCTCAAAAACTAAAAAAAATTAAAGTAAAATAAAACATCATGAGAGATTTTTTCTTCTTCCTAGCAGCAGCACAGCTTTAAAAACAAAGGGAAAGAGGGATGGAGGGGGAGGGAGGGAAGGAGGGAAAGAGGGAGGGAGACTCTTCGAACCCCACGTACTTGCTCATGGTAGCTGGCACTGGAACCACTACTTCCCGCACAGGGCGCCTGCACCGGCGGGGGCCTTTCCACAGGGCAGGCAGGGTCACTGAAGGTGGGAGACGCCGGGACAGCTGGGTGGGGAGGGTGGTGGTGGTGGTGGTGGTGGTGCTGGAAGTGGTGGCTGTGCTGCTGGAAGCAGCCCGTGTGCGCGTGTGCCAAGCCGTGCAGCCCCTGTGCTGGGCCTCCGCACGGCGAGTGCTGCGGGCAGCAGGAGGGCAGCCTCGGCATTGCAGGGGGGCCGGGCTCTGCCACGGCACTCGGTGCAGTCCTTCTTGATTCATCTACAAACAGGAAACAAAACGTGAATAATCAAAGCATATCTACTGCTGTGTACAAGAAAGTACTGTGTACCCATAAGAACTAAGAAACGTCCGGTAAATTCAAATCTTTGTAAATAAGATGTTAACATGGCCACATTCTAAGACACGTATCACTTTAAGCAGTGATCTTCGCTGCGTTTTCTTGAAATTCTAAATTCTCCAAGAGATTCATTATTTACCATTCTACATAAATCAGGCAATAGAACATCTTTTCCTAGATCAATACAAGTTATTAATTACCAATAAAATTGCATTTAGAAACTCTGTGACTCTCCCATATCTGCCACATGATAAGGATTTTACCAACCCTTAACACCACAACTCACTCCCATTAAGGCAGGCCTGGGGATTCTCACGTTTTTAGGAGACAGGCACCAAGCCCAGCAGCGAGCCGAGTCTCACTAACCACCACCCACCATTCTTTACTCTGGAGGTTTAAGTCAGAACCAGTGAACACCAGAAGTGGTGAGACTAGTGTTAGGAAAGAAAACGGCTCATCAGAACCCAAGAAACTAGTGATGTGGGGCAAACTGTATGGAGTCCAGCAGACCCGGACACCAGGCCTGAGGCTGCACATATACTGAAGGGGTAACAGCATCCACAGTGACTTCAGAAGAAGACTGAACTGGAAGGTCTTCCTAGTGTACACTTTGGTTTCTAATTAAGTAGTTTATTTTCCTATAATCCAGGACCTATTTCTCAAACAGGCTTGCAACCCAAATTAAAGACAAGTGAGTGGGCCTGGTGCTACAGGTCTCTAATTCCACCTACCTGGGAGGCTGAGGCAGGACAATTTCAAGTTTGGGCAATTTAGTGAGATCATGTTTCAAAATAAAATTTCACCCAGCCGTAGTGGCTCAGACCTATAATCTCAGCACTCAGGAGGCTGAGCTTGAGCCAGGAGAACAAGTTTGAGGACACTCTGGCCTACACAATGAGTTCAAGGTCAGCCTGGACTACATAGCAAAACACTGTCTCCAAAAAAAACAATAATAATGAAATTTCAAAAAAGAGCTGGGGATAATACGTCAGTGGTAGAAAGCTCGATACTAGAGCTCTTGGCTAGCACACGTGAGGCTCTGGATTTGATCCACAGTACAGGAAAAGGGGAAAAAAAGAGGCAAATGTCCTGTCACTTGAGAGTAAATAACCATAAATTAGGGGTAAAGTACAAAGATCTGATTACGTAAATTTAAAAACCTTTTTACTTAAGATTAAGCCACAAGGGTCTACTAAAAATGAGACCATCAGAAGCCTGCAGTAGAGAATCACTGTGAGTTCAAGGCCAGCCTGGAATACAGAGCATGCGAGACCCTGTCTCAAAAAACTAAAAGAAAAAAAAAGTCTGCAGCAAGGAAATTAACTCCATAGCTCAGAGACATCAAATTGGTGAGCGTGTCTTCTCTGTAATGCAGGGTGATTCCTGAGATGCACGCACAGATTTAATCATTCATCTGGTAAGTACTCCACATAATGATGACATGGGGAAGAATCTACAGAAGACAGTACAAAACACAAGTCCTGGTCTCTAAAACTGCTCACAGTATTGTCTGCCTTTGTGACTTCACCTCTCACAAACGGGAATACACAGGCACAATGCAGACGGCTCAGTAAGCCCCTGCTAAAGTCAAGTCATCTTCAGAAAGGAAGAGAGGGGAGGGGAGGGGAGGGGCACCAGTGGTCTAGAGGTACAGATTGGGCATCGGCAGTGTGCTGTGAGCGGTGGGACACCGCAGCTGTGGGGCCGAGAGCAGGGATGAGAGCACGGTCACACGAGCAAGGTGAGAACATGACGATCACCCCCAGAATTTCCAGAGCAAGTTTCCTTCTCAAACAATTCAGAAGCACATTAGAGCCAGGCGTGGCGGCACACGCCTGCAATCCCAGCGCTCAGGAGGCTGGGGCAGGAGAATCGTTTCGAGTTCGAGGCCAGCCTGGGCTACACAGTGAGCTCAAGGCCAGCCTGAACTGCATAGTGAGATCCTGTCTCAAAAAGACAAAAAGAAGAAGCACATCAGAACACAGTTTAGGGTGATGAAAACCCACTCAAGGCAGACACAGACATGACACAACGTACCTGTGCAGTGTGAAGGACTGGAAGCAGGGAGGGTGCTGAAGCAAAGACAATGTAACAGCTAAAGCACAGCCGAGACGGGGGAGGCGAGGAGGCAGAACACAAAGGAGACAGCGCGGCGGGGAGGACTGGAAGACCAGGAGTTAGGAGAAAAGGACAGGTATGGACACAGAAAGTCTTCAGAGAGGTGCTAGAAGTTGTACAAGTTCAGGCTTGAGAACTTTTTTATTTTTTCTTTCTTTCCTCCAAGGGGTTAGTAGCCCACGCTGACTTCAAGCTGACTTCAAACTCTCCGTGATCCTCCACCCACAGCCTCCTGAGTGCAAAGGTTGCAAACCTGCAGCACCACGCCTGGCTGCATTCAAATCTTCACCGGAACCATTACTGGCCTCAATCAAGGTATTCAACTTTCTAAGTTTCTTCATTTATAACACAGAGAGTAAGGCTAACATGAAGAGTTTTTATGGTTTAAGTAACACACAAAAGCAAAATACAAGATACCTAACTAAGTAAATTAGTGAGAAAGATGACATACTCAATAAATGAAATAAAATTCTATTTATTTCTTCCCACATTTTTTCCCCTACAGAATGAAGTATTTCAAAAGCATCCCTAGCTGCCTCCTGCCATGCCTGAAAACAGAGTCACCCTGGTCACTGGGCACACACAGGCTGCCACTCAGAGGGCACAAGTGCCACTAGGAAGGCCCCCAGCACGGAGAAAGCTCTCCCGACCCAGTGCTCATCCCTGACCCCCCACCCGATGCCACTCCACCTCTCAGCAGTGAAGTCAACTCTGGAGAGGATACAAAAAAGGAAAAAAAAAATCCCTGGGCAATCTTCTTAGCAGTGTTCATTTCTGCCCTTAGTGTTTGAGATGAGCCCTTCCTTATCCAGCCACAAGTGATTTTCCAATTTGCCCACACCAAGTTATAGGGATATTATAAAAGTTAAACGCTATACTATTAAAAGCATCAAGTAATAAAAATGTAAGTGGCTTCATTAAAAATCATGATATCAGCCGGGCGTGGTGGCACACACCTGTAATCCCAGCACCCTGGAGGTGGAGGGAGGAGGATCACCAAGAGTTCAAGGCCAACCTGGACTACATAGCAAGTTCAAGTCCTGCCTGAGCTGCATAGTGAGACCCCGTCTCAAAATACAAAAACAAAAACAACCAACCAAAAAAAATCACAATATACCCTATCTATGACTACAGGTCTACAGTGTCCCTACTAGGAAGCAGTTTATCAAGTTCTACCTCTGTCCCAATGCCCACCAGAGAAAGAAAGCTAGCTCAAGGCTCAGTTAGACAGCTGACAGGAGACAGCCAGATATGTGAGCTCTGCTTACGCAAGAAGTAGCACAAGGAAGAGCTAAAATGATTTAATTCTTCGGTACTGGGGGTGCAGCTCAGGGGCAGAGTGCCTGCTCAGAACAGCGAGGGCCCGGGTTCAGCCGTAACATGGGATGGGGGTACACAGAGGCGTACACCTTTGTGACCGAGTCAGGCAGTGGGTCCCTACACACAGTGTAAGAGAACAGGCGAAAACAACAGGAAAAGAGAACACCTGCAAAATACTTAAAACCCCCATCTGCACATACACAGCACTTAGAAATGGAATTGGTGGGTCACGTGGTAACTCTATGTTGCTGTTGTTTTTTAACGGCATTGGGGATTGAACCTCTGCACTGAGCTACATCCCCAGCCCTTTTTTCGTTTTTTGTTTTGAGATAAGGTCTTGCTAAGTTGCACAGGCTGAGCTCAAACATGCAATCTTCCTGCCTCAACCTCCCAGTACTGGGATTATAGACTGGCACCACACCCAGCTTAACTTTTTGCAAAATGTTCAAGTGTTTTCCTCAACAACTTTACCATTTTTTATTACTACCACCACTTCCCCAAGACTGCAACGATTCTGCTTTGTTTGTTCTTTTGTAATTACAGGCTCCCTAGTGGGTGCTTTGTCCTATTTCACTGTGGTTTTCATTTGCATTTCACTAGTGACCTGTGATTCTGAGTCCCTCTGCATGTGAGGTTTGGGTCACCTGTATACCTGACTTTGAGAATAACAAATCTGCTCAAGCCCTTTACCCATTTTTAACCTGGGTTGCCTGTGTTTTTGTGCAACTGTAAGAGTTTTCAGCCAGATGTGGTGGTGCACACCCATAATCCCACTGTGAGATTCATGAGGTCAATTCACCTTCCTCTTCTGTTGCTAATGCATTTGGTGTGACCCATTCACTTTTCCCTATGCTCTCTGATGAGCTGTAATGTTTGAGTCACTTCTATCACAGAAAAACAAACATGAAGCTGTAGTCTAATTCAAATAAACACTACTTCAGTCCCATGAGATTTATTAAAATGTAAGAATACACTTGCAAGAACAGCAGAAACTTTCAATACAGTAATACTGTTTCTAACACACGTCATGATGAAACAAGGTACAGTGACGCGTGCCTCTAATCTCAGCTCTCTGCGAAGCTGAAGCAGAAAGATCAAAAAGTTCCACAACTTCTGCGTATCACGGTACAAATCCTCCTGTGGTTCTGGGGCTCCTGTGATCTACCCATGTGAGAACCTGAACCTTGGCTCCAAAGAGACCTGGAGTGTGTGAGGATTGAACGAGACCTTCCAAGATACCAAGACCCTGTCTCAAAAATTTTCTGAAGGGCTAGGGATGTAGCGCAACACGGAAGCCCTGCGTTCAATACCATTAAAAAGAAGCCATGACCGAAGCTCCACCCACACACATCTTCACATACCTCCTACAGAAGTGCCAGCTGTGCTAGTGCTTGTGAGACTAGGTGAAGTCTCTGGCACTGTGGAAGGCTGGCTACTGGTGACAGCTGGAACAGTATCAGAGGCCTGCTCAGAGGTAGGTGGATTTGAATTGTTAATGGAAGCACTAGTAGTTTGTGATTCCATTCTTGCAGAAGTGGTTGGTACTACAGTAGGTTCTACAAAATATAAAACATCTACTTAGTATTTGCAGCACATTAAGTATAGGGTTATAGCTTAACACAAGTTAATGTTCTTATGATAACTGCTAAGACAAGCAAATATTAAAAATATAAACTCTCTAGTAAGTATAAAATGGAACAAAGAAAGCTTTCATAAAGGTAAGCTATTAGCCATGTACTCTCTTGCATGGTGGCCGACCCTCACACTGTAGAATGTACATCTTTTCCTACTTTGATTTGGTCCAGGCCAGGGATGTAGCTCAGCAGCACAGTGCCTGCCTGGCAAGTGCAAGGTCCTGCGTTTGATTCCCAGTGCCAGAAAAGTAAAAAATAAAAAAACTTATTCGATACTCGCTCTGCAGAGCCTTTCTCCTTTAATAAAACTTTGCTACCATTAAAAAAAGAAGGTAAGATGCAACACCTGACAAGTTACTAAAATATGATTTCTCCCATTTAAAAATTGTAACACATATATGGATAAGTCACTAATTTAGGTGAGTAAAGTTTTTCAGCTAAGTTCTCTGACCTACCACAAAGAAAAGACTTGAAAGAAGCAGTTCCTCTGCTATGTCCCACACACAGCTGTGGGCTGTGGAAACACTGTTAACAAACTGTAGTGCTGGGCTGGGGATTTAGCTCAGCGGCACAGCGCCTGCCTGGCAAGCGCAAGGTCGTGAGTTCAATTCCTGGTACCCAGGAGAAAAAAACAAAAACATAACTCCCCCCACAAAAAACTGTAGCACCTTCTGAAAGCCAAACTAGACTGCTTGGAGAGCAATTCTGGTCTCACTATCACAGTGCAACTACAAGCAAGTTACTTAGCCACTCCCCACCTCTGGCCTGAGCAAAGGGGACAGGGTCAGAGTGCTAAGGCAAACTGGGGTCACACGTACAACGTACCTCACATGGCGCTTTTATCTACGGCAGTCATTTCATCAACATTAGCTATGGCTTTTTAATATTTACTTGAATCTCATTTCCCATGCTTTGTTTCTAAAAATAGTGTTAGCTAATGTAAATAAACATTAAACCAAAAAATTAGATATTGCTATTATCAGTTTTCTAACAAAAAAATTATGAATGAGTTACATTTCAAATATCTGACTACAAAGTGGCTGCACAGGACATCTCGTTTCACCAAGCTCCCTTCATATTTCTCCAGTGACTTCCCCGACTCACCATCTTCATCCACAGTCAGGTCCACAACTTCCGCGGCACTCTGCCTCAGGGGCTGTATCACAGTAGAAACCCTACTGCGGCTCCGGGGCTCCTGGGATCTACCCGAGTGAGAGCCCGAACCTTGGCTCCAATGAGACCTGGAGTGTCCGAGGGTTGAACGAGACCTAAACAGTACCAACGTTAAACTAGTAGACATAAGTAAAGAGCAAACTTCTACTTAACCCCAAAACCCGTAAGCTTTTCTCACAAAATATCATGTAAAACTTCTCCAAGAAATAACAGCAACAGAGTTAAAGAGTGACTAGCACAATGCCTGGCATTCAGTAAACATTGCTGAATAAATGAATCACCAACCTATTGATCAAAAGAATTTTACAAATGCTGTTAGACCAATCACAGCATGAAACACAGGATGCCGAGCCAGGCATAGTGATGCATGCCTGTAACCCTAGCGCTTGAGAAAGTGAGGCAGGAGGACCACTTCCAACCTGAGGCCTGTGTGAGGAACCAAATAAGGCCCTGTCTCAAAAACAAACAAATCACAGCATTCTGTTTCAAGAAGGCTGCTCTCTCTACAATGTTTATTTTGTATGTTCAAAGGGAATATAATCAATTATTTATTCTTTATGGTAATTCCTCAAATTATTCGTAATAAAGGAATTTAAAAACACACTACACACTTAATGCTCACATGACCTTGTATGTTAATTCAGGTTGATTTACAAAAGACGGCTGAGAATCCTCAACCAAGCTGGCTGGGTAATCCCTGCACTCGGGAGGCTGAGGCAGGAAGACTGCCATAAGTCAAGGCCAACCTGGGCTACACAGTGAATTCAAGGCCAGCCTGAAGTATACAGGGAGACCTTGTCTAAAAAAAATAAAAAACAAAAGAAAGAGAAAGTATGGTATATATTGTAAGAGTACCAATTTTCCTCACACGTTGGAAAAATCATTTAACTTACAAGTGCTCAAAGCTGGGCATGGTGACACATGCCTGTAATCCTAGCACTTGGGAGGCTGAGGCAGGAGAACTACTGCTAGTTCAACGCCAGCCTCGACTACATAGTGAGCTCAAGGCCAGCCTAGACTGCACAGAGAGACCCTGCCTCAAACAAACTATCTAATCTATATCTATATGTATGTATTTATATAAGGATAGATAGATCTATCTGTATCTATATATGCGATTGGAAGTGGCAAGAGGAAAAGCACATTCTGGGCCCCTTTGTAATACGCCTCAAAAATATGAATGTCCTTTACTTTGTAATCAATAACACACATTAACAACCAATGTTCAAACACATTTCTAGCACAGAAATTAAGATTTACATATAGATTATAATCTGGTGTGACAAATGTGCAAACTCTTTACACCACTGGTACCATGATATGGTGGGGTTTGTTGCTGTTGTTTTTGAGGTGGGGTCTCCCTAAGTTGCCAAGGCTGACCATAAACTTCCACTGCCAGCCTTGACCTGAGGCAAGACGACTGCTGTAACCCAAGGCCATCCTGGTTACCAAGTGAGTCCAAGGTCAGCCTGAACTGCATAGCGAGACCCTGCCTCAAAAAAAAAAGAGGATTATTACTCATTGTTTATTTGAGAACGCACCGATAGCTTTCCCCAACTGTCACAATCTCTACTTCACTGTCAGTTGAGGTTACATTGATCTCTTCATTGGCAGTGACCTGGGGAGTGAAGGAAGCTTCTATCACCACAACATCTTCATCGATACTTCCTGAAAACAAAGGAGAAGAACACTGCATTAGCTACTTGCCATTACTTCAAACATTTCAAGAGTGACTGTAAAAGACAAGAAGGGGAACATACGCAGCTAGTGGGAGATTCTGGCGTTTGTTTTATTTCTCTGAGGTATGTGGCCCAGACTGGACTCACATTCATCCTCTTGCCTCCGCCTCCGGAGTGCTGGGATTACAGGCATGCACCACCAGATGCTTCTGATCGTAACTGGCACAACATGAGTACTATGGTGCTATGATTAGTTTATGTAATATAAGCTTTAAAATTAGAATTAGGTCTGAGCTCTAAATCTTGTTTACTATGTATCTGGCAAGTCTTATTAAATTTTCTGAAGCTTCAGTTTTTTGTTTGTTTGTTTGTTTGTTTGTTTGTTTGAGACAGGGTCTCACTATTTAGCTCAGGCTGACCCTGAACTAATCATGTACCCCAGGCTGGCCTCGAACTCAGCGATCCTCCTGCCTCAGCCTTCCTAGTGCTAGGATTACAGGCGTGCACCACCACGCCTGGCTTCATCTTCCTGCCCTTTGCTGTATGGACTGTATCTCAGAATAACCAATTCCCTGATTAAGAGTTCTTCCTTACAGAAGAACTTTAGCTAAAAAATGTAAGCAGAATGATACAATTTTTAAAATCAGTATTTTTGTAACCCTAGCACTTGGGAGGCTGAGGTAAGAGGATCACCATGAGTTTGAGGCCAGCCTGGGCTTCATAGTCAGACCCTGTCTCAGAGCAGGGAGGGAGAGAAAATCAGTAAAAACAACAGAGGCACACGTCTGCAATCCCAGCAGCTGACAGGATGAAGCAAAAATATCCCAAGTTCCAACCCAGCCTAGGCAACTGGGCACCTGAGCCAGACTCGGTATCAAAGTTCAAAAAAATTAAGGAGTGTAAGATGTAGCTCATTATGAAGATCCCGGGCTCAACCCTCAGCAGTGAAGGTCACCAACAGCTGCTGAAGAACGGTGTCCAAAGTGCTGGTGGGGAGCCCGCCTGAGGGAAGGCAGGGGCACACCTGCGCCTCGATCTGAGCCACCTCCATACAGGGTGAACCGGAAACTGTGTTCCCTGACCCCACCCACCCGGGTTCTAAGGTCCAACTCCCACTTTGCAGGAAAGACGGTGTGCAGGAAACAAAGCGACTACCACCATCACACACTGAAGTGTGAGTGAATCCACACTGTATCTAGGAACTGTTCTGAAATTCTCCAGGAAAGAAAAAGCCAGAGTGAGAGGTAAGTAAAAAGGTAGACTGTCCAGTGCATGCACACCCATGTTTATAGCAGCACATCTGAAATACCTAAATGTAAACAGGCCAATGCCCGTCAACTGATGAATGGATACACATGTTTTTTATACAACAGATTAGCACTCTGCCATAAACCTGGATAACCTTGAGACATTTCTACCTAAATGGATGCACCTTGTAAATACGTGTAAATACCCCCATTGTTTCTCTGGTGTGAGAAACTAAAAGTGTAAATAAGGACCAGAATCTGTACTAGATATTGTGAAATAGGAAGAAAATGTTCCAATGGGAAGGGGAACTATGTAGGGTGAGGAGGAAAAGAAAAAAAATGTTGAGAAAGAAGGAAAAAATGGAAACAAAGCTTTTATAAATAAGGAAGGGGAGCCAGGCGCCATGGTGCACACACTGGGGAGGCTGAGGCAGGAGGATTGTTGTGAATTTGAGGCCGGCCTGGACAACAAAGTGAGCTCAAGGTCAGCCTGAACTGCATAGCAAGACCCTGTCTCAAAAAGACCAAAAAAAAAAAAAAAGAGGGGGAGAGGGGTTGAAAGGAAGGTAGGGGAACAGGGAAAAAAAGAATCAAGTTCTACCATGTACAGATACGAATGCCCTATAAATGAATGTGATCATTATGTATACCTACAATGTATCAATAATAAAAAATGGTAGACTGTCAGTAGTTGAAGTGAGGTAATAAAGAGTAATAATGTGATAAATTCATTGTTTGTTGGATTTTTCCTTTTTTTTTTTGTACTGGGAATCAAACTCACAGCCTCACACTTGCCAGGCAGGCGCTGTGCCACTGAGCTATATCCCTAGCCCCAGTAATTCACTGTTTTGTTTTTGTACCAGGAATCAAACTCGGGACTTTGTGCTTGCCAGACACACACTTGTGCCACTGAGCTACATCCCCGGCTTAATTCATTGTTATACTTCTAATTTTGTGAGTATCTAGGCATTCCCATATAAAATCATAAAACTGAAAAAATAACTCAGGGGTTTTTCTACAAAAAGGAGAAAAGGAAATCCACACACTTAAGATATAACCCCTGATATTAAGACTCTACAATTTCAAGAGTTGGTTATCATGTTACGCAAACTTTAACATAAAGCGTGGCATGCCAGCACTCTATCACCTCAGCACTCCAGAGGTTGTGGCAGGAGAATCACAGTGAATGCAAACTAGCCTGGGCTATGTAGTAAGTTCAAGGGCAGTCTGGACTCCACAGCAGAACTGCACCAGAAAAATAAAAGCACTTAAAACGTCATTATACCTGAGAAACAGTGCCAGGCGGCTCTGGGCCAGGGATGTAGCTCAGTGGCACAAGCGCCTGCCTGGCAGGTGCAAGGTCCTGAGTCTGATTCCCGGTACCAAAAAAAAAAAAAGAACACTAAAAAACACACACACAACCACTGGATAAATTTCATAAACATTGTTTTATGAATAAAACTGTAGTTTGAGATAAAGTTTCCAGTACAGTATAATTATCTCAAAGTATTCAAGGAGGATATGCTCTAAAAAACGGAGCTTGATGACTTTAGAAAATATGGTTTTAGGGGCTGGGGATTTAGCTCAGCGGCAAAAGCGCCTGCCTGGCATGCGCAACGTCGTGAGTTCGGTTCCTGGTACCAGAGAAAAACCAAAAACCAAAAACCAAAAAAAAAAAGAAAATATGTTTTTAGTAAATGTCTATGTCTAAAATGCTTATGTGATTAACACTTTTACTTTCAGAAAATATGAATAACAATAGGCAGTATTTCTAACTTAATATATATGGTATTTTGTATATAACTACAACATGACCATAATATGGCTGTTGTGGGTTTTTCTTTTGTTTGTTTTCTGAGACAGGGTGTCACTATATAGTTCACACTGGTCTCATTATGTAGCCCAGGCTGACCTCAAACTCGCAGGGATCCTCCTGCCTCAGACAGCTGACTGTTTAAACAGACCTGAAAGTATACATTTCAAGGTAGCCGAAGGTGTTCTTTCTCCACAATGGAAACATGACACTAACATACTTAGGGAATCTTCTTTAGTAAGTACACATGGTATTTCCATTTCCTGCAAGTCTGGAGAAGAGATAATCTAGAAATACCCATTATTGTAATTTTAAAAATTTGTAAATTACAAGGAAGTCATATCAAAAGTGGAAAACTCAAGGCTTTAGTAAAATAGAAAGTTAAGCAGCAGGTCAGACAATGTTCGCTAAATAGATAAAATCACTAACATAACCATCTACTATAGTGCTGTGCTCTCAAACTTGGCTCCTATTAGACACCAACAAGAAGAAAATATTCCCTAGAAACCTGGTGAGTGTAACTGATGAGCTGACATACAACGTGAAATACCGACTCAAACTAACTCATTGTTTTTTGGTCAGCTGCTAAAATACACGATCTAGAAAATGAGTATGTGACCCCTGTGCTACCAGCTCTAAAATACTACGAAATATTCAAAATGTAAGATACTTTTCTATCAGTTCACTGCAGCAATAGCTAATAAGCGTTGATGCACATATTATGAAAAAAAAAGTCTCAGTAGCTCCAAAGTAACTAGTGTCAATTTGTACAAATCATATTAACATTTTAGGGACTGGGGATTTAGCTCAGCGGCAAAGCGCCTGCCCGGCAAGCGCAAGGTCGTGAGTTCAGTTCCCGATACCGGAGGAAAAAACAAAAACAAAAACAAATATTAACATTTTACATGTAAGTCTAACTGAACGTTGAGGCACTCTAAAAGCTGAGACATTCCAGCCCTATTCTGACTCACACTGAAATATACTAGGGCTTGGGAGTCACAAAGCCTGGATTCAAGCTTTAGTTTTACCACCTGAATTTAACTAAAACTTTTTGCAAGACACTTTATGGCAATACTTTCAATATCATCATTCAAAACATGTCTAAAAGAAGCTATTAAGAATTTAAGAAGTCAATTCTTTAAAAGAGCTGAGGTTTCTTATAACAAAGCCAAGTCCCATCAATATTTTAGTTTAACTATATTTCTGAATATAAATCCTGAAGTGGGTGATGACAACAGAATACACCCCATAAGAGAATTACACAGATTAAATTACACACGTAAAATAATTAGATTACCGGCATAGAACAAATACACAATAAGTGCTAGATTTTTATTATCATTATGAGATCATTATCCATGACGATATAGTAAAGGAACAAGATGTGAACCCCTTGGAAGGCTTTCTCACAATAATAGCTAACAAAATTTTACACTCATATGCCCTCTGACATACTTTTATAAATTATATCTTAAGATATGCTTGCATAACTGTGCAAAGGTGGCTCAAAAAAGCAAGTATCAATCAACAAAAATTGGCTCAATAAATTATAGAAGACTGATAAAAAAAGGGAACTATGTAACTCTTAAAAACAAGAAGACAGCTGGGCGTGGTACACAGGCCTATAATCCCAGCACTCAGAGGCTGAGGCAGGAGGATCACTGTGAGTTTGAGGCCAGCCTGGGCTACATGGCAAGACCCTGTCTTTAAAATTTAAAAAAAAAAAAAGGCAAGTTCGTAAAAACATTACACTGTGTGCTTCCCCACCATCCGCCTTATCCACTGGGCTTGGCACACTGTGACTTCTAGCTCTTCCCCGAAGTCACCGTGATCGTGCAAGGTGTGCATTTTTAACTCATGCAGGATACTCAGGCAGCCACAAGAGCACAGCTAAAGACACTCAGGCAAGAGGACTTCCAGAACTGTTTCAGGAGACAAACCAATGGGTAAGAAGTTTGAAGAGGGGGGCAATATTCTGAGCAGTATTAGCAGCAAAATGTAACAGTTTTGCTGTAACAATTTTTAATGTAAACATTCACTGCATGTTTTGATCATACCTCCTATAAATACCTTGCTTCCCAGAAACAGACCCTAACACTGACCTCTACTCACTATCTCATGTCTTCTACAAAGGCCCATCAGCTCCTAGATCCCTGCTCCTCTTCACCCACCACCACCCGCAACACCTGAAAGCAGAACGTGGCTCTGCCGCTCCCCTTTCTTGGGGCGTACTGGATATTGAATCCAGGACCTTCACATTGAGCTACATTCCCAACTCTTTTTTATTTTGAGACGGGGTCTCGCTGGATCACTAACTTGTCCAGGCTGGTCTTGAACTGTGATGCTCCTGCCTCAGATTCCTGGAGTGCTGGGCTTACAGCCATGTGCTACCACACCCTGGCGAGGGCCTTCCTATTCTGACCTCATGAGAAAAACGTGACAAGCAAGACAACTCCTTTTCTCCCTCTCCCTCAGGAGACCTCAGGCAAGGACTGTGTCCCTCCCAGCTGTAGGCGATCTTAGCTCTTCTTAAATAGCAAGGTTTTCAAGAATGAAGTGTACACTGCTAGGAGCAAAGTTACTGCTTCGGGTTCTGGAAGACAGCAAAGTAAAAATGAAAACAGAAGGCACCCACGGAGCAGGGAAGAAGGTGGGAGAAACGGCCCATCTCTGTGACAGACGAGCAGGCTACACCCTGGACAGGCAGAACAAGGAGCAAACACTGGGGAAGACGGGAGTCGGTGTTAGAAAGCACATTCGCAGTCCTGTGGAAAGCTCTTTCTACACCCCAATTCCCTCCTTTCCCACTTTACAAGGAATTAACCTTAACTCCCCTCATTCAGACTTAGCTCTTTAATATGTCAACAGCTTTTTAAATTGCAATTGTAGAAACTACGCATTATCTCAGGGTGTTTTCTTTATGACATACACACTTCTGGACTGTCTTCACATAACCCTATTCTACTAAAATGTGTTTTTTGCCGCGTGTGGTGGCTCACTCCTGTAATCCTAGCACTCGGGAGGCTGAGGCAGGAGGATCTTGAGAGTTCAAGGCCAGCCTGGGCTACAAAGTGAGCACAAGGCCAGCCTGACCTACATAGTGAAACCTAGTCTCAAAAAGACAAAAGACTTTAAAAATTTTTAAAATAAAATAGTCATTTTTGCTTGTGTTTGTGTTTCTATGAGACTACACGCAAGTGCTAGTCCACTGTGACACACAGAGCTCTGTGAGGACCAAACATGCACAAGCTCTGGTATTCATTCAGTAAGTTACCATTCGAACACTTCAAAGTGTCTGTCAGCTACGAACAGTACCACAAGGCAACCTGAACAACAGAGAACGTAAAGGAAAAATAGTATCAGCTTTAACTTGCTCTTACTCGGATTACATCTGAAAAAATTCTATCAGGTATCTGAAAAAGTATTCAAAGAAGTCAACATTCTAAGAGAACTACAGGAAAAAAGTTTTTCTATCATAAACCAACAATTCATTTTATATTTATTTATAAAATAATTAAAAATGACTACTCAAAAAAATACCTAATTTTTTATTTGTCAACTAGAAATATTTTTATCACAGAATTTGGGTCATGGTTTAATCCTATAGTTGGTACAGTGGACCCTCATGTTACAACCAGCCTGACATATGAAGGACTTGGGTTATGACCAGAATTTTAGTTTTAACTACTGACCGAAGTCCTGAGTTAGGAGCCAGGCATGGTAGCGCACACCTGTAATCACAGCACAGGAGGCTGAGGCAGGAGGATTCGTGAGACTGAAGCCAGCCTGAGCTACAAAGTGAGTTCAAGGCCAGCCTGGGCTACATAACAAGACCCTGTGTCAAAAAAAAAAAAAAGCTTCTTGACGTATGACCCGAATGCCGGCTGCTTGTGCCTCCAGATAGTCTGATATAGCTTTTACCCTTAAAAGTTCTGCAAGGAACATTACAACGTCTTTTCCTGTATGAGGTAGAGAAATCCTGGCCTGATGTCTCTCTAAGGACACTGAGACCTGCCTGTGTACAGGATAGCGACTTTGACTGACAACCTAAGTTATAACCAGCCCTCAGGAACAAGCTGAGTTTGTAAGTCAAGGGTCTACTGTAATTTATGTCATTTAAAAATAAAAATTCAGCAGGGTGTGGTGGCACATGCCTGTCATTGCAGCAGTCGGGAGGCTGAGGCAGGAGGATCACTGTGAGTTCCAGACCAGCCCGGGCTACAAAGTAACCTCAAGATCAACCTGAACTGCATAGCGAGACACTGTCTCAAAAAAAAAAAAAATTTCAGCATTTCATACTCCTTTCGAATATAACAGAAGCACTAAGACACAGAAACAAAAAAACAAACAGAAAAAGAATGAAGTACCTTCCATGTTTCTGCAAACATGCTCACCTGAGGGAGCACCTGGGTTGTTCTGGTGGTTTTCGCTAGCAGAGACAAAAACGTCCTCTTCTCCCTCGGTTGAAGAGCTGGAAGAGGACTCACTGCTGAGGTCGTTTTCACTGGAACTGCTAGAACTGGGTAGCAATGCATATTTTCTTCGAGCTAGCACTTCTCGTTTTTTCCTCTGCATTAATATCCTCTCTTTTTGCTTCTGTGTCCTCTGTGAGGAATTATTTTTTACAAATCTCTTTCTGCATGGGAGTCTCCTCAGCGAACTGCTATGAAAACAGGGTCTTTTCATTAATAATCCTGACACAGATTCCGTCTCAGTCCGAGGCCACTTTTGAGATCGCACGCTATGACTTCTACTTTTAGCACTCAAAATTGTCTGGGAATGTCTTACAGAGACTTCTTTATCCTCGTCCGAAGTCACAGTGTCAGAGTCTCCAAAATGCAGGCTGGAGGAGGGAGAAGACAGACAGTCGCTGAAGGAGGAGTCGTGCTCCTCATCACTGGGCGAGGCCTCCAGGTGCTGCCGCAGCCCCAGCACGCCCTGGTTCTCTTTCACGCAGTGCTGCGCGTACGAGGGGCCGGCCTGCTGGCTTTTGCGCTTTTTCCTCACGACGCCTTTCTCGTGCTCTTGCCGATTACCACTCATGTCCTTTCCTTGTTTTTGAGAATCATCACATAAGTGAGAGAACTCATTCCCCACTTTACTGTTAATCATCTCAACGCCGGCAGGAAAACTTTTGGCTGCCCCAATGGGCTCCGGATGCAGAAGGATCCCTTTCAGACTCTCCTGTGTCTTTGGAGTATCAGAAGGAATCTCACTCTTCATATCCACTTTTAAGGTATACAGCTCGTTATATTCAGGAGTCCATTGAGACATGGGAAACTTTAAAGAAGGCCTAGAAGACACAATCAGAGAGTTAGAAGATTTTTAACATGTTTCATCACACAGTTTCATTGACAAGTTCTTAAATCACATTGAGAACACGGCAGAAAAGGCTTTTCTGTATCAGGATACAATATGGCTGGAATGGGTCATTTTACTGTTCTTATAAAACATTTTTCGTTGAAACCTTCACTTATATTCCCCAACTTTTGGAAATGCAGTAACTATCACAAAATATAAGCCTACCTGAAAACGTGTATTAACCAAAACGATCTGTCTTCAAATATTGCTACCTTCATCAATATAACATATTTGATCAAAATCAAGTAATTTCTTCAGCATCTATGCTAATAAAACTAAAAAGATTAGAATTGAAAGGACAAGCCGGGCATGATAGCGCACACCAGTAATCCCAGGGCGCACACCTGTAATTCCAGCACTCGGGAGGCTGAGGCACGAGGACTGCTGCAAGTTCGAGACCAGCTTGGGCTACACAGTGAACTCAAGTTCAGCCTGAACTGCACAGGGAGACTCTATCTCAAAAAGATGAAAAGAGAAAAGAAAAGAAAACAAGAGAAAAGAAAAGAAAAGAAAAGAAAAGAGAAAAGAAAAGTGCCACATGTCTGTAATCCCAGCACTCGGAAGGCTGAGGAGGAGGATGGCTGTGAGTTCAAGGCCAGTCCCGGCCACACAGTGAGTTCAAGGCCAGCCTAAATTACAGAGCGAGACCCTGTAGACAGACAGACAGACAGACAGACAGAATTGAAAGATGATCATCCAATCCAGCAATCCTACTAGGGGTCCACATCAAGGAAAACTGACATCTAGGCTCCCACGTTCACAGCAGCACTACTCACAGTGACCACGATGCGGAAAGAACCTGAGCGCCCGCCAGCTCATGAGCAGTCCCGTACACAGGACAGCCCTACTCGGCCACAGCGGGGGCGGAACCCTGCCATTCACGACCGCGCAGACAGCAGCGGAGACCGCTGTGTACCTCACACCCTCTCGTGGTTCTGGAAAAGGGGCTCTCACGACACCAAGCAGAGCAGTGGGCGGAGAGCAGGGAGGAGGTGTGGAGGAAGGCTGGCCAGCGACCCCGCTCGCACCGTTAGCAGCGAAGGTCTGGTGAGCCCCTGCGAGGGCAGCTACAAGCAACGGCACTGCGCGTGTTTCAAGACAGCAGGAAGATTCTGAGCATTTATTTACCCCATAAATGACTCTGAAAAGACGTTTCACCAACTGTACATGTATACATTACATCCACGTATCAAAACAGAGTACCCTTTAATATATTAGATCTTTATACCTTTAATGTATTGGTTAAAAAAGAAACCCTTAAAAAAATTTTTTTGAGACAGGTCACTATGTAGTTCAGTCTGGTCTTAAACTCGTAGCAATCCACCTGCTTCGGCCTCCCAAGGGTTTGGATCACATGTGTGTGCCATCATGCTCAGCTAAATTTAAAATTTAAGAAAATTCAAAAATACAAAAATCTAAGACTATGAAAGCAGGACATTTTCTCTCGGCACGATAATATTAAAATCTTTGTGTCTCCAGATGGCTGCTGCATTACACAGGCTCCTATAATGAACGAGTATGGACACAGCTTCTTTCCTATGCTTCACCCCTTCATGCCTCTCTCCTGTGAAGAAAATCTGAATTCTGACAGACAGTAAGGCTCTATCGCCTTTTAGTTTGAGATACAAAATACTAGAGCCAGGGCTAAACTGCTGAAAATCATTCACCTAAATAAACAGCACAGCAAAACATACAATCAAACTAACTTCCTACACAGTGAATGTAAGTGTGTCCAAACCATGTGATTTGTAAAATTATGAGCTGACGAAGGAAACCTCATGTAAAGCACGTATTTCAATGAAACCTCTGACACAAAAACAGCTTTAATGTAGCAAACAACATAACTCAAAATGCAAGTCATCACAAAGAGATCTAATGTAACAAAGGAAGAGCTGTACTAGTCCAAAAATAAGTATCTAAACAATGTTAAAGGACTGTTTCTGACAAGGTTTCACTCTACTCCTCAGGTAGTCTCCAACCCCTGGGCTCAAGGGATCCCCCTGCCTCAGCCTCCTAAGTGGCCCATACTACCATTTTTATTATGTGTATATTTTGTTTTTACAGCTTGGGGAGTTTTCACAAATAAACACACAATTAGCACCCAGATCAAGAAACATAACACAGCATCACAGAAATCCTTTCCATCACCACCACAACAAGAGCTTTAACCACCATAACTTCTAATAATATAGATTTAATTTGCCCTTAACACACAGTTTTAAACCACTTCCTGAAAAGAGAGGAAGACAGGCATTTAGTAACAACAAACTTCTTCCCTTTTCAGCAGTGACAGTTACAGGATACATAATTTCACAGGTCTCACTCACACTTTTATATCGGTAAATTAATTATTACTAAAATAAAAGCACAACAATAAAAAGCTGAATGGCCTATTCCCATAGGAAGCCGTCGAAACCCTCGTCTTCCATCGCTCTTATTTGTAAGGGGCAACAGCGCTGTACCAAGATGAGCCCTCCACTCCCGTCTAGGTCCCACGGCAAAGCAGCAGCACCGAGACGGGTGGCTCTGCGGGCGCGGCAGTGAGCCAAGGACAGAGGGCAGTCCGACAGAAACACCACAACTAAAGGCCAGAAAACACCGGTTCCAATAAGGCACAGGTCCGTGTGACTTAAGGGGGTGGGGGGGCAGCACGGCCACAATAAAATGCACAGGGTAGAGAGAAATACAAAGAAAAGGGGCCCTCAAACACTGCCGGTGGGAATGCAAAATGGTACAGCCAGTTAGGAAAGGAGCTGGCCATTCCTTCCAAGATTAAACACACGGATGAGGGCATAGCTTAGTGACAGAATACATGCTTAGCACGCAGAAGGCCCTGGCTTTGATCCCCAGCAAAACCACCACCCATAAAAATGATGAAACAGAAAATGATCACAGGACCATGCAATTCCAGTCCTAGGTCTACAGCCAAGAGAAATGAAAAGATTTATCCACATAAAAATGAACACAGCACCGGGAGTCATCAGCCGAAAAGTAAAAACAACATGAATGCCCATCAAATGATAAATGAACCCATACAATGGATCAAAGGTTACAAAAGAAATGACGTATGGGTTCCAGCTACAACATGGGTGAACACTACAGTTATACAAGGAACAAAGTTCTTCACAACGGGTGAACACGACGCTGACCATCCCAAGACCACACCGCCTAAGATCCCTTTACTATGAAATGTCTTGGGAGCGGACAAACTGCAGAGACGGACAGTGGCTCCCTGTCCGGGGACGGCAGAACACGCTGTGACGGCCAACACGTGCGGGCTCCGCTCCGGCCAAATGAAAGTGTTCTTTCCAAACGTCCTGTAGTGACTGCTCAACTGGAACACACCACAGCCACTGAGACCGAACCTCAAGAATCTGTCACCGAGAAGCCACAGGCAAAGTGAAGACCTCTGGACACTGGGTAAGGGTGGACCAGCAGCAGGAGAGGAGTCAGATGACTAAACAACGTCAGTGGGGTCTCCCAGAGGTACGTCCCGCTGGTGCTCTGAGGCGGCTGTCCCCGCTGACATGAGACCAGCGCAGCTCAGACTCACCTTAATCATGGAGTCACTCTAAGGTCTTGGTGCTGGAGCTCCTTCGAGGCAAGGGAAACTTGCCAAGAGGACAGATGAATTCTGAGAACATGGACCCTACGTGACTTTACAAAGAACTGATTCACAGCTTAATTTATTAAATTCAATTACTTTTCCAAAATCAAAACAATGAACTTTTTTTTTTTTTTTTTTTGAGACAGGGTCTCATTATGTAATTTAGGCTGAAACAAAAAGAAAAAAAATAGGGGCTAGGGATTTAGCTCAGCGGCCCAGCGCCTACCTGGCAAGCGCAAAGTCATGAGTTCAATTCCCCGTACTGGAAAGGAAAAAAAAAAAATGTAGTTTAGGCTGGCCTCGAACTCTGAGATCCTCCTGCCTCAGCCTCCAGAGTACTAGGATCACAAGTGTGCGCCACCACGCCCAGGACAATAAAGAACTTTATGGTTAAACATGCTCTGGTTTCTGGTCACTCTGGTCCTGCCGTAAGGCAAGGATGGGAAGGAACCGGGGGAAGGTGGTTTGCTCTATGCCACCACTGTGTCCAGTCACAAGTTACCACGCCATGCAATCATTAAGCGCAAAATTCACATTCTGTATTAACCAAGAGGCTCTCACCAAGGGAATACAAATTCACAGAGCAGAAGTTCGTTCAAAGAAACAGCAGTATTCCATTTTTAAGTTAAAAAAATAAAAAACAAGATCATTAAAAATATTCTCAATTATTTTTATTGGTTAAAAATCATAATCTAGTTTATTTCTGTAGAAATTACTAGCTGGTCAGGCATGGTGGCACATGTCTGTAATCTCAGCACTCAGGAGACTGAGGCAGGAGGATTGCTGTGAGTTCGAGGCCAGTCTGAACTACATGGCCAGACCGTCTCAAAAAGTAGAAAAAAAAAATTCCTGGCTGATCAGAGTTACAAAAAGGTAAGTATTATGAAATGTATCTACATATACAGTCACATTGTAATTGGTTTGCTGTTACATACTGTTTCAATATTGAAACTTCACACTAGTCTCTGCACTGATTTGACCCCATCGGCATACCAATTTACTCCTGAGTAGCAATTACTCATAAGCAAACTGCACTAATGAAGCACATTAGCTAAAAAAAGGCTAATTTTCAAAATTAAAAATTAAGAGCAATCTGCAGATTTACCTAGTGAGTTTATGTGAGCAAAAGAGGGAAATATTATTCCTACAACTCCTAGGAACTCTTACCTCTATAAACTCTCACACACCTATTAGTATGACCCTTTCATTACCAATGGTGAATGTAAGTACTTGGTTCTTTATTTTTCCTTTTGGCGGCAAGAGCTGACCCCAGCCCAAACTCCTAGGCTCAACTGACCCACCTGCCTCAGCCTCCTGGGTAGCTG